AAAAAAAAGAGAAAAAAAGAAAAAGGAAAGAGGGGGGGGGGGGGGGGGGGCGGGTCATGTGAGACAAATCCAGTGTTGAGAGGAGAAGTGGTGGCGGTGTACGAAACGTGCAGGTTCTTGTCGCCTCTTGTCGCCTCTTCTCTCTTCCTACTGAGTACAAAACCAAAGCCACTCTCAAGAAAGCGCTTGCCGCCTGCGAGGGCCATCGACACGATGCGTGTTTGCTCAGACCGTTGTGGGGTAGAGAATTCGTTCACGCTGATCGTGATTTGGCACTGCTGTCTTGGGCATGAACGGATGGCACGCGTGCGCTCCGCGGACTAGCGCTCCGTTTAGTTGTAACCGCGCCCGTACTCTCAGCAGTAGCAAGCACACCTGTAGCGCGATATGCACTCACGCATACATAGCGCGCTGGTTTGAGCTCGATAGGCCTTGATGCTAAGTAGGTCGACCGCCTTAGCGAATCACGGCAGGAAGCGAGGTTTCTCTCAGAAGACGTTGATCGGGTCGTAGCAGCAGCAGCAGCAGCGGTAGCAGCAGGAATAGCAACACGAAAATGTTGTCTCTTTTTTGTTCTCGCTGTCCACCTCGTAAAACTACAGACGTTTTCTCAGTGCATGTGCCCTGTGATGAAACAGCATGTGCTGGAGATACGCTTTGCGGTGCATGAATTAATTCATTGGTGCCTACATCCGTTTGCGCGTTCCGGACTTGATTATTTCGTCCCTTCTCCTACTTTTGATTTTGGGGCGGTCAGGGTGGCGGCACAGAAGAAGAAGATCCTTCCGCCCAACAACGACTTCGACGAAATTCTGGAGACCGCTTGTGCAGGACGATCTCGACCATGGATGGTGAGCTGATCACGGCCGGTGGCGGTGCATGGCATGGTGTTCTGTTCGTTAGGTGGGGGGGGGCGGGGGGGCGGGGGGGCGATCCCTCCTTCCCCTCTCGCACCCAAGATTTCGGGGCCTGCATGTGCCTTACCCACCCTCGTTGTAGAACGATATCACCGCTCTCTAAGCGCTTCTAGTTGATGTCGTGGACGACCCCCCCCCCCCTCCCCCGTTCTTCCTGCATGATAGTGCACAGCTTGTCGTCCGTCCTCGCCGCGTACTGGAGGTGTAGCTTTTTTTAGCCTGCTTGAAAGTGGAGTGTACAGGCCGTTCGCTGTTATTGTCTTGTTGTTTGTCTCTGACAATGCCGCTCGTTCGGTTTCCGACATTTAACCCACCTCATCTCTTCTAATATACATTAACACGGTCCCTCCTACACCCCCCCCCCCGCCGGACTTGCCACAAGACTCCGTGGTGGTGGCACAGCTCTGTGCGATCAGCCCTCGGGTCATGGACAGCGCGTATTGCGTCTCGCCTGAGGCGCCCGGCAGCTTTTTCATGGACAGCGGCGGCGGCGGCGGCGGCTGTGGTAGCCCCCCCGCCCTCGCCCCCTTGGCCCCCCCCTCTGCCGGCCGCGCTCCGGCCGCCCCCGCTGCCGCCGCCGCGGGCCGCCGATCCCCCGGATGGGGCAGCACGTCGTGTCCGGCCGGCAACGATTTACCGGTGCTCCAGCGGTTGGGATACAACAGAGGTGGCGGCGGCGGCAGCAGCAGCGACCGCAAGTCTTACGGCGGCGGGGGGCGAATACCACAGCTGTCAGTAAGCAAAGGAGGAGGAGGAGGAGGAGGAGGAGTAGAGGGAGGAGGAGGTCGG